CATACTTAAGTGGGGGCAGTTTAGTCTTTATACTACTAATTAGAGCCTAATCAATATTAAGGGTCGGCTAATAGGGTTTAACCTATTAAGTTCGACTGTTCTTTCATCTTCTTCTTCTTCTCCTCTTCTACTGGTTCGGACTACTGTAGCAACAGAGAAAACACAAGGTAATAATGTTAGGTATCGAATCTTCTGTAAAAGTTTTTGGATTCCTAAATTATAAGCTGAGTTGCTTAATGCATTTGGACCCATATGCAGTGACCCAGAACTCATATATCTCACAAATGGTGCAAGCAAAGGGGTAAAGCAGAACTTGAATACCATCATCCGTGGTGAAAAGGATGGGGCAAGTCCTGACTCCTGAATGACTTTGGTTCGATTTGAATAAGCTTTTGTTCTTGAGCTTTGGGCTGTGGGAAACAAAAATGAACCAAAAAGTGTTTTGAGCATTTCGTAAGAATTGCTTTTAAAAGCATAACAATCTAAAGCCAAAGCACTTTTAAGCCCCAACCTCAAAGCACAAAACTAAAATTGGAACTTTGTGCTTTTGGGCTTTAAAAGCACAAATCCTGAAGCTTATCCAAACACAGCCTTAGCCAATATTTTTTTTCCTTTTCTCCTTGGTTGCTGCAAGAATGCTTCTCATCTCATCTCACTTTTTTCTTATCTTCCTTCTCTGTTTATATGTGGAGGATACTTGTCTCTCTATGTTCTGTTTACATGCAGAGTTTACTTTTCTTTTTCCTATGCTTTTTAGATCCACTTTGGTGGATAATCTTATTTGGCAGATTTTGGTCCCAGTACCTCAATATCCACTGTACTCTGCTACAATATCTCTATTCGGCGGTTCTCTTGTTCCATATTACCTGGAAGAGACAGCAAATTGGGGTCTCGACATTAATAACATTCGTCAGTCAGTTGCACAGGCTCATTCTAGAGGAATAACAGTGAGTGCACCTTCATTATTCCAATAAAGCACAGAAAATATTTTTAGCAATCAATACCTAAGGTGTGGTTGGCACTTCAATTGATGAGATGATCCATGGTTAACTCAGTTTACCTGAACCACTAAAAAATTTTTGTGAAGTCCCTATGAGATAATTGAATGGTCAAAATATAGCATCAGTCTCATTAACTTAGTGAAGTTTCAAGAAGTTTCTTTTAAATTCATATGCTTGAAAAGGCTGCCAACATGATGTTAGCTTGAACCAAGGGTAAGATGTGGACTGCAATTAGGAACAGGCAAAGGCTCTCATTAAACAAGTTATGACTGCCTTGCTGTGTTCATCAATCATTGGCTTAAAAATTCAGACAACATAAAAATTGTAAACCTTTTCTGTTTTTTGGTCAAATGAGTGATAAACATATAGGGCATATGCAATAGGAGTGCACTTATTGGAAAAAGAGCTAGGTTCAGGTCCTGAATATACTGAAGAGCAAACTCATTTTATATATACATCCTAAGCTACATGGGTACTTCAAAACAGGTCCCATGTCCATGCCACATCCTTCAATTTTTTTTTTTTTTGGTGTGTGTGTGTGTGTAAATTTTATGCCAGTATCTCTTCCATGCTTGTGTTTGGATAGTGCAACAATGTGAAAATCTAAACTTGTTCACTGGCAAACAATTTATACCTCTTCTTTTCTGTCTTACTCATCCAAAGAGCCATGAATAAGGCAACTTTGTAACAAAGAAGATTTTCTATGGGATATTCATCAAACGGTAACAGTTAATTCTATGTTGTTGCATATGGACCTGATATTTTGATATTAAATTGGATTCTTTAATGTTCTTCTCCCGGGGGGGGGGGGGCTGATTAAAATATAGGAAAATTCCTCAACTGTTGGTCAGTGTATAAAAAAAGTATACAGGAGGGTAGATATCTGACTTGATTGATTCAGGTGAACCATAGTACAGTTATTGAAAAGCTTTTCTGTCTTCTTCAACTTGCACATATTGGAGACTCTGATTATCACTAAATTATTTCTTATGTAATGGATTTGATCAGGTCCGAGCTATGGTAATTATAAATCCAGGAAACCCTACTGGTCAGTGTCTGAGTGAAGCTAATCTAAAGGAAATACTACACTTCTGTCTCCAAAAACTTAGTCCTGCTTGCAGATGAAGTTTATCAGCAGAACATATACCAAGATGAGCGTCCTTTCATAAGTGTAAAAAAGGTATAGTATTTATGGTCCTTGGCTCCTTGCCCTTAATTTTTATTATGTGCTTGAGAGCGGCTCTTCCTGTTAAAACTAACTGGTCTGCAAACACTTCAAGGTTTTGATGGACCTGGGCCCACCCATAAGCAAGGAGGTCCAACTCGTGTCTTTTCATACAGTCTCCAAAGGATATTGGGGTGAATGTGGACAATGAGGAGGATACTTTGAGATGACAAACATTCCCCCAAAGGTCTACTTCTTTCCTTTAACTGCTTTAAATGGTCTAATTAAATTGTGAGAATTTGTTACTGATTTATAGTTTATAAGGACATCCTTAGGCAATTTTTATAGTACTGAAAAGGTACTATTCCTAAAACATGAATTTGAACAAATATGCAGATTTATTGATTACCAGTTTGTTACTTGTTAGGTAACCATACCTTTTCAGTATCATAGCAGGACTCTCATCATTATGTCCTATTTTATATGTTCTGGTTAGATTTTGTTCACCATACCAGAGAGTCATAAGGATACATATTTGATTGAACTATAGAATTGACTTTTATATTGTAACAAGGGGCATTGTCTAATGTTGGTCCGGCTATCTGGGATCTTGAGAGGGGTGAACTGGATAGAGACCTACCACCAAAATTATCTGCATGACACAGTCACTCTCAGACTAAACTCATGTTCTTATGCTTACCAGCCTGAGATTTTATGATATAACCAAATTTTATGAAGTCATTAGAAGGAATCTAGGAATAGATCCCATAGGTGAGAAAATGAGAGAAAGTAAACTAAGTCACTAAGATGGTTTAATCACATGTGAGAAGACCATCTAACAGCACCCACAAGAAGTGTTCTGTCAGAAATTGAAGGGGCTAGAATAGAATGGGGCAGACCGAAAAGGACATAGGTTGAAGTAGTGAAAAATGATTTAAGCATTCATAATTTAACAATGGACATGGCACTGAACAGAATGAAATGGAAAAACAGGATTCTTGTAGCCAAACCCAAATAGTTGGGACAAGGCTTAGATGATGAAGAATGAAAGAAAAAGACAATGTTAAGATGGATCCCTAAAGCAGGTAGGAGTAGGACTGACCGGCTTAGCTGGTGAGTAGGGACTTACACAAGGCCTACTGGCCATACCATGGAACTTTTCACCTGCTTCTATTCTTTGGGTTTAAACCTGAGTTTCCTCTGGGAGAGATGCCATATGACTATTGAAGGAGGAGGTTGTTAGCACATCAAGGTTAGTTAATTTGTAACATTACAAGCCATTTGTCTAATATAAGAAAACAGCCTGGACCAAGCAAATATTTGGAGGGATTTAATGTTTTATAATTCAGATATTGTTCTATCTGTTCCTCCCTCAATAAGATAAAAATGATGTAACACAAACAAATTTAAGCTGTCATACAAGGTAGGCCTAATACAGATATACCATTAGGCACATAACATGGTTAATTCATTCTTTTTTTTGGAGGCCTAAGCCAAATTTCATTTCACCAACATCAAATATCTCAATATAACAGAGTCCTCCCTCAAAATATCAAGGATAGAAGTTGGAGGATTGTCTGGCCAAGTGAAAAATAAATACTTATCAAGATGATAATGTGCTAGCACATGAGCAAAATGTTACATTCATTTGGTTGATAAAAATGTGGGAAACTGTACATGAAAGAAATCTTTAGCACTGCATGGTGACAACCACAGGCCAATTATTAGCTTAAGGAATTTAGATAACCTTATGTTGTCAGGTTCTATCTGTTATTGTTGGTCCATTCTTAAAAGTATATACGATGATTACCTTATATTTCCTCCAATATCAAAGTATTCATGCCAATATTTGGTTGTAAGTTGATTCCTTCCTTAGTTGGGATAAGGCTTGGGTGATGATGATGATGAAGTTGATTCCTTCCTTCTAGCAAATGAGAAAACGAGACTTCCACTTTGAGGCGATTAAAAGTTGAACTAAGCAGTACTAGGTTATCGATATTCATCTTCTTTCTGTTAAATGTTAATCTGTTGTTGCAGACTGTTGATGAAATTTATAAGGTTGCATCCATATCACTCAGTCCAAATGTCCCCATACAGATCTTTGTATGTCTCCTATCCCAAAAAAATGAAATTTGCAAGTTATACTGCAGTTACATTAGTTGGATTCCTGGAATATTTGTGCAAAAAGTAAGATTAATTTACTTAAGCACAGACTGCATAGTATGGTTAATTTCTTTTAATCCCTAGAAGATTCTATTTTGTGGTACTATTGGGATTGCCCCCATTTTCTCTTATTAGACCTGTTAAACCTAATAATTACTTTTTCTTTTCCCTTTTTTTTACAGCTAAGCCTGATGGTTAACCCACCCAAGCCAGGGGACATTTCGTATTTGAAGTTTATTACAGAGAGGTATGATGGCTACAGTTCAACTCCTGTAGATCACACTTTTCTCCCTGCAATCTAATTTCTTTTGTTGTCAATTTGTCTGGTTGCAGTTGAATTCACTGCCAATACACTTTTTTTCTCTTTTTTTTTCCGATTTACCTAGAATCTTCATAGAAAGTACGGACGATTTTTATTTGATCCTGACAGATTAAAACTTGTTTTGATATGCAAGATGAAATATAATGTTAACTGTTGTAGCCTTGTAGGCCATATAATAAAAGGTTTTCTAATGACAAAGCAAGGTACAAGGCTAAACAAAGGGTGGCCAATGTTGGCCCAGGCTATCCAGGATCTTGGTGTGAGACTGGATATGGATCTAACCTTGTGCATTTTCTTTTACAAAGTGGAAGCTCTCAGACTCGAATATCATTCTTGTCAGTCTTAGATTTTACCATTACTTGGTGTAATGGGTGTAATGGTTAAATCTCAGGCTAGCAAGTGTAGAACATGGATTTGAGTCTGAGGGCGACCACTTTGTGTGAAGAAATGCCAGAGGTTAGGACCATACCTAGTCTACCCCTCCCAAGAACCCAGGTAACTGGGGCCAACATTGGGTGATGGCCTTTTTTTTCTTTAATTTTTAAATTTATGTTTTCCTAATTTCATTAAGGAATTTTATTAATTTGTTAAGCACATGCATCTATAATGAAGACATACATGCTAATCAAACTGTTATAACAAATGAGTGGTGGCCTTGTTAGATTTGGCCATAACCCACTCTCTTGTCTGATGATGATAATTGCTCTTTTGTGGTACTTTGCCAGCAGTTTTTCATCTTTCACTATTTCTTTTGCCCATCTGGAGGATGCGATTGATTGGATGGTCATGTTGTCTGCTTAATTTCAATTTTGGGAATGTTAATTCTCATGGGCTGGACTGATGAATGTGTCACCATACAGTTCCAGTTAGCATTCTATTATTTGACAATGAACTAAATACATATTTGAATTTTGAACTACAAAATATGCAGCAAAGCTACCCTTGATTCATTAGGCTGTGTTTGGAAACGATGCAAATAAGTGTGAATGCAAATATGTAGAGTGTAAAACGGTTCATATAAATTGCAAACTTGGGTTAATTTTGCACTGACAATTTTATCTTCTTACCAAACAGACTTTTAGCTGTAATGGATGCAAATATGAATTTCAATAAAGCATATGCTTTTTTTATCAAAAGCCCACTTGAATGCAAATTTACTTTTTTTTATTGGTGTACTTTTACATCTTATTATCAATGCAAATATGCATTGGTCTGTCATTTTGTCAATGCATGAATGTAATGTTGCCAAACACAGGGAAAAGTGAACCAGAGTGCAAATTTACCCTGAACCAGGATTTACACTCCATTTGCATTGTTTCCAAACGCAGCCTTAAAAAGAAGAGCACACATTATGACTGATGGATTCAACAGCTGTAAAAATGTTGTTTGCAACTTCACAGAAGGTAAATAACAATTTCAGGGCAATCCTTCTTCCATTTTACACATTAGTATCTTCTTACAGTTTGTGATATGTTTCCTTAATCTTGAGATATCGGCTACTTATTAAAATACCGGTTTCAGGGGCTATGTATTCCTTCCCACAGATGCGTCTACCACCAAAAGCAATTGAAACTGCCAAAAGGGCTGGAAAAGTTCCTGATGTTTTTTACTGTCTCAAACTTTTGGAAGCAACAGGCATCTCCATGGTCCCCGGTTCAGGTTTTGGCCAGAAAGAAGAGTACTTGTTAATTGTATTGTTTTCTTGAGATATTCTTGTGCTCTCTCGAAGATGCTTGGGTCTCTTATATGTTTTTGAGAGATCTTGTTGTGTATATCCAAGGGGCATTTATATTTTCATTTCTTGCAACAAATTAATTTGAAATGTGGTTGATTCATTTGCTTCTTTTATAGGGCCTTCCACTTAATGACAACCATTTTGCCAGCTGAAGAAGATATGCCTGCAATCATGGCCAGTTTCAAGAAGTTCAATGATGAGTTCATGGAGCAATACGGAGACCACAGAGGCTATTCATGGATGTAAAGAGATTCTAAATATCCCAATTTTTATTATTTTCTCCAGCTCTTGAAATTAATTAATGTACTTATTATTAACCTTTTACACTTTATCCTATCTTTGGGTTAATAAATCTGTCCTTGTTTTTGTAAAGTATATTGGCTGTGAATCATCTGGTTTATTGTTTGCCTTCATGATACAAAAGGAGTTGTCCTTAACCAATCATGGGGATTTTTTCGGTAGAAAACAATCATGTAGGAAACAAAGTCAAAAGGAAATTTCTGAAGCTAAGACTAAGGGGTTGTTTAGTTCCATTGCCATTTATTAAATAAACGTTTTGTACATCTTCCTTGAGAAACAAAAAAAAAAGGTTGAAAAACATTTTTTAGTGTTCTTTTGACAGCTAGGCAGCACATAAGCTACATAGTGAAAAAACGCCCAAATGTTGGGGGAACATAGAAAAGACATTTTTCCTAACAGAGCTTTCATACAACCCGAGAAAAACATTTATTTAATAAATGGTTTAATTAAACAACATTTCAAAGTCTATTGGTGGAGATGCTTATGTGGTGTGGTGTTTTTCAGATAAACGGCAATGGAACCAAACACCATTTAAAGAAGTGTCCATTTTCTAGCTTCAGAAATCAATTCAAAATCAAATTCAAACAAGTGCAGCATGCATGGAACATTAAGCATAATAGCCTACTTTGATGAACCGTCATTGTGCAATTGGTACAAATTTCCAAATTTGCACCTGATTCCTTTCATCCTTTGATGGTTGCACCAAGTCTCCCAGAATAACCTTAAGAAGGTATTTGCAGTTGCAGACCTGGCAACAATATCCTTAAAACAGCCATTGGATCTCTTTCTAATGTTCTGTGTGTTTGTGCAAATCTCCCAAAATAACCGTCAAACAACGCTAGTGCTAACTTGGCAAAAAGGCACTTTTTCCCACAAACAACTATAACAACTTAAGATACTAGTAAGAATTTTGACAATCAGTCCCGGCATAAACACATAGAAGGGTTAATAGAAAAGACGTGAATAAATTGATTTTGCCCGAGGAAATGCGTATTTTGTGAAACACGAATGAAAAAAAGAACGAAGTTAAATATTGCTAAATCATTCATTATCCCAACATATCTGTAGGATACAACACAAAGCTCCACAGACATAGAGAACACGAACAAATCATACTATCCATGAAAAGGAACCCACATATCCACATAACATCTCAAGGATAAAGGTAACTTCTGCTTCCACAGACTGGGATCAGGCAACTCACCCGTCAGAGCGATCGAGCTGTCATCCTTCCTATTTCCAAGATTCAAAACAAACACTTGGCCCGGAAAGACCTGATGCATCGCTTTTAAAGACTCTTCCATAACTAATTTCCCGTCTCTTCTTGGATCCTCGGCTTCCACACAACTTCCTCCGACATTAACCATAATTCTTCCCCCTTTTCTCAAACTTCTTTTCAGTTTCTTCCATGTCTTTGGATTCTGAAGCTCGGTAACCAAACTGCCCTTGGCGAACAAATCGACCAAAATCCCCGAGAACCCATCTCTAACGCTGGCTTTCAGTGCATCTCCTATATAAATGAAAAGCTTCTGTGGGTTCTGTTTTTCGAGCTTGGAAAGGCCAAAATACTCTCGACCCACCGAAATCACAGACGGGTCAAGCTCCCAGCCGTGAACTTCGACTTCTGGGTACAGTTCCAAGATCAAACGGGCGGTGGAACCTGCTCCAAAACCAAGAATGCCCAAGGGCCCCGGAGGTAAAATTGGTGGGAGAGTAGCAAAGGCATCGAAGTAAGTGTTGGTAAGTAACTTGAAGAGGAAGGATATGCTGTGGATGTTTCCGGGACCATCGAGTAAGAGGAGTCTGGACCCTGCAAACGGGTGATCGGCCTTTCTAGAAACTTCAAGAACTCTGATGTAATTGTACCTGGACTTGAATTTCACGAGGACCTTGACGAGATCGATGGGGATGCCGTCATCCTGCGTCTTGGTTTTTGCGTCGGAGGAATGGGTCTGTCGAGCATTGACAGTTAATGCCCGGAAACCACTTGGATTTGGAAGATTTTTGCGAAACAATTTTATGTTTAGAAGGGTTGACGAGGAAGGGAGGCGGGAAGTTTGAAAAGCGGGTAAGCCTAACGGTCGGATTTGGTGGGAAATGAAGCCATGGGAAACTGATTTCATTTCAAGCGGAAAGAAGAATCTGTATCCCTTTCCTCGGCGAGTGCTTCCTCCAGCGTTACCCTCCTTCTGTCCTTCAGGGGGCTTCTAATAAATTGTAAGTTACAAGCTACAAAGACAATTATGCCCTTCACTATTAAAATTATGACCGACAGTATGGACCGGCATCCTGCACTCCTGCTTATTGCTTAGTGATCGTGGACCATTGGATCAGGGAGCTTTCGGTACGCCGTTTGTATTACTTTTAGGCTTCAATCAGAGGGTGAGCGTTCCAACTTCTAAGACTTGCTCCAATAACTGAACGGTGTTGATTAATCATCAGGCAAGTAAATAGGTGTTGGATGCTGGAAATCGATATAGCGAATCCAGATTGAAGAACCGAAGAAACAGGAAAAGGTTTCAACTGAAGAATTCGAGGTTTGTTCTCTAATTTCTCACCCTAACTCCTTCCCTCCGGCCACTCGAGATTTCCTACTCCTTTTTACTACCCTCTCTCTACCCGCCGTGAATTGGAGCCATACATCTCTATTATGAATTGAGATATGTGTGACTGAGAGTGGGTAGGAAATTTGGAAGGGCGTTCGTGCGTTTCTTCCCATAACGAGTAGAAGGCGGAGCATGTGAAATAGGTATTACGTTGAATGATTTCTTCTTCTTCTTCTTCTGGTTATTGGGATTGTTCTGTTTATACATTTCTAGTGTTTATGCTAGAAAACCGAGCTCAAAACTGACCCATTTTTCATGCATTCCAGTTCTGTTAGTCAATGTGCATATAATACTTTCAATTTTGTAGCCATGGAAATTCAATTATTGCTTCTACTGCTGAAACATATTGTTCTTTGAAGTAATGGATGGTGAGGATTTCGGGATGAGCAAGTTGTACGAAGGCTCATGGATGTCTTTGATTCCTTATTTTGGTGAAGGAGTGAGTCGTCACGTTTTTCTCACCTGGAAAACAAAGAGTGAGTCGTCTCGTTCTTCCGTTATTTTTTTCTCGTATTGTTTATTTTTCGTCTCGTAGTTGCTCTCTGCCTCTCCCTTTCGAATCTATTCTATATGCTTCTATAGTAAATTTATGGGAAAATTCCATTTTAGTACCTGAACTTTAGAGTAGTGTCAAGTTAGTATCCGAACTGTATACTTAAGCTGGTCTCTGACTCCCTGCCTGATCGTCAGTTATTTATTGAAAATGTCAAAACTACCCTTATCTTCTACCTGATTCCCTGTCAATTCTACTGTTTGGCACTATTCACCTTCCTCCTTTGTTTGAAACGAACAGAGGCGGCGGCTACCCCCTTCAACTCGTGAGAATGCTAACGTGCATGAGCTACTAAATTCACCTGATAATCCACAATCAGGACCACCTCTATCTCTCTGGTCAAAGGCGATCACGGATGTGGGAGAAACAATCTTGTCAAAACCTAGGGTTAGTTCTTTGGAGTTCTTGCTAGAAGGATCTGGCACAATGAGTGGTAGGAGGAACCACAGTAGCGGTCGGGATCCATTTGATGTCAATCGGCACTGCTCGAGGGAGGTCGCAAGTGACAGGAGGACCATGGTACTCCATAGCAAACGAATATTCGACCTCATCTTGACTGTGGGGGATCGGAGCCCTAACAGGCAACATGCTAGTAAGGAGACTCTTCATTATCTTCGCCTTACTCCAGTTGAATTTTACTGAGAAATACTAGCCCTAAGGCCCAAAATCTTATAAGAGAAAAAGCATTGAAGATGGCTAAAGGTTTCGTTTTACAGCTCAAACCTTACAGAGGAAGCTAGCTAGATCCTCCCTTCATTTGATGAACTGAATATTCTCCATGAAATGAACTAAGAAAAAAACAAAATAGTACTAAAAATAAAAGAGAATAACAAAATCATAGAATAAATGCAAAAACGGACTAGTCCTCTCTTACGCCTTACCAGCTGAAGAATGAACGACTGGAGAAGAGAAAGGCGGGAGAGGAGAAGATGAAAGAGAGGCTGAGCCAGTCTTGAAAATCCTGGGCGGTATTCTGAGTCCGCGTAGGGAGAAAAATGGTTGGAAATTGGAAGGGGAAAGAACGAAAGAGACAAGAAGAGGGTTTTAGGATGTGGAATTCACTTTTTCAATTTGTTTAATCACCTTGTATTTTATGATGACCAAACAAGTAAGTCCGGCATGGTGGACATGTCGGATGGAAGGGTTTTGAGTTTGTCTTTAGTTCTTTGGTACTGTCTGAGCTTGAAAGTCGGAATTCGGATGAAGTAGAAGTATCACTGTCCTCTCTTTGAATCTTTTACCAAAGTACTACCGCTCCAACCCCAATTAAATAGGCTTCAGTAATGCAGGTTTCAACACCTCAACCGGTTCAGTCTCAAGGTAGAAGACAATGAACAGTGTCTTCTTTTGAAGGGTAGTTTTGGCATTTTCAACAGATAACTGACGGTTGGTTAATGGCAGGGACCAATTTGACACTTTTTGAAAGTTTAGGTACTACAGTGACATGTCCGAAAGTTCGGGTACTAACTTGACACTATACCCAAAGTTTAGGGTACTAAAGTGGAATTTTCCCTAAATTTATTAACTTAGAACTTTTAAAGTTCTATCTGACAGTTGCAATAATAGAATAAATAGTGTAGAAGGTGCCCATGTAGTCGTATGTACAAACTAAAGCTAATACACTCATACAATATGGTGGTTGACACTTAAACAGAAAATGTACAAGTACTGTGCTCAGACCTCAGGAAAACATCAGACCAACAAAATACTACTAGTAAATATACCACTGAAATGATTTCAAACTAGATCCTCCATTCACTTGGTTTCAACTGCCAACAGTCATCTGCTCGCTCATTTGGGCAATGCTGGCTTTGGTTGGGAGGACTTACCAGTGATTGCTTTTTTCACCTTGGCAATTGAGTGCTTGACCTTGGACCCAACACCTGACAGTATGTTATGAGATTTTTTATGGGTTCGTTTAGCATCCACATCTCTAGAGGCTTCTACCAGGAGTGGGGCATCAGAACTTGAGTCTGCCTTTCTGTGTTCATCTTCTTCTTCCTCATCATCTTTCTCTTCTTCATCTGTTTTCTCTTCTTCCACTTGCATGGTTTGTTCCTCTTTATTTTCCAATTGGTCATCATTGCCTGGTGGCTTTGTATCCTGGGCAACCATCTGCAAAGTTTCTTTTGTGGGTCTCCGTAGGAGATCAGATAATGAAACCTTATCTGTATCTGAAGGCTTGACCTCTTCAATTGTTTCTCCAGCTTCATCAACCACTCCATTCTTTGTTCCATATTCCACTGCCTTCTCTTCTGGCTCAGTTCCTGAAATTTCTCCAGGTCTCTGATATGTCACTTCTGCTTCTTGTAAGGTCTTCTCAATAGTATGCTGTGGCACAGATGTAATGTTTCTGTCTTCAGTTGGAATCTTTGTCCCTGTGCCCTTAACTGAAGCTTCTTTTCTCAAGATCCTTTCTTGAGATATTCCACCAGAGGCCTCTTCGAGTATCTCAATGTTCTGGGAGATTTCAATGACTTCTGGAACATTCAAAGTGCCATCTATTGTTGGTATCTCTTTGGCTAGATGCTGGATATCAGATGAAAGATCAAGATTCTGATTTCTACTACCGGCATCCTCTATATTTGTGCTTTCTGTTTCTTCATTTGTCTGAATCTGTGCTTCAGACACCAAATCAGTCTTCACATGGCTGTTCTCTTTGAGTTTGAGTACAAAATTAGAAGCGGCATCAAGCTCTTCGGTGTCATCTCTAATGCATCTCCCTACAGTTGCCTGTTCAGTAGATAAGACAACAAACTGGTCTTCTCTTTCTTGAACTTTGGTTTCGCCATTCTGGTCTGTACATATTGTTTCATGGATCTTGCCATCTTCAGACTTCTCTTTGCCTTCCTTCTTTAGAATTTCTTCTATGGGAGCCTGCAGAACAGGGGAGTGTTAGAAACTTTCTCATAGTATTCCCTATTTTTTTAAAATTTCAATTTCTGTGGTGTTAAGGCTCACCTTATCATTAATGTTTTCTTCTTTTACGTCTCTTGGGATGCTCAGTTCAACTTCTGCTTGTTTGACAAATACCGACTGTCTTATTACCTCTTCATCTCTTGCCATCTTGCCTCTATTTTCTGGTGCTTTTTCTTGTGAAGCCTTGGTGAGAGATGGATTGCTAGGGTCACTGGTTAGAACCTCCATGTCTTTTTTGTGCAAGTATTCAGTAATGCCACTTGGACTAGATTCTCTGTGAGAAAAAGTGCTCTTAAGATTCTCTGCTTCAGTAAGGTCTTTTTGAGAGCTTGTATCTTCAATTCTGCTTTCAGAGTGATCTTCTTTTTTCTTCATTCTTTCATGAACTGATATTTTAGATACAACTCCAGAGAGTTCTTCAGGCATGTTGCCTACTTTGACTTGTACTTCTTGCTTGTCCTCCATGGCCACAGTTCCTGTCTGGTTGATAGAACCTGTAGTTTCTAACCTCTGTTCCACCAATATAAAGTGAGAGCTTTTGACCTGCATTAGAGGGTGAACATTTTAATTGATTTATACAAGACTAGGGAAGGAGAGAGAAAAAAAATGAAATCCAGTCCTGTACTGTTTTTTCTGAACTAACAAATTTCTTCATTCATCAAAAAAAAAAAAAAAAAGAAATCCAGCCATCAGGTTGTATGTTTGATTAGCCACCATTTAACCAACATAAGATTGTACCTTTTGGACATGATTAGAGAGGGATTCTTATTTTTTAGTACCTTTATAGTTAGGTATTAATAGGCCACTAAATTTAGGAAATGTTTTTGGTAAAATTTGTTTTTAGAAAAAAAGCAACTTTATGAAAGTGTATTATGACAGTCAAAGACCCACTGCTGGAAGGTCTAAACTTGTATTCTGGGAACTGACCTCTTCATTTGCAATACTGTAGCCTGTCATATCTTTTTTGCCTCTTTCTTCATCATTCTTATCTCCAGAGGCCAATTTAGTTGCATCCTGAATCTTCTTGCCCTCTTTTTCATCCTCTTGTTGGCTTCTGATTGTTTCATTTTCACTGAAAGCTATGGAAGTTTCCTTAAGAGCTTGCTCTTCCACCTTAATCTTCTTTTCAATTTTTTCGTTTGCTTTAGCATTGTTAATTTCATAACACACCTGTACAAAGAGATAAAGTTTCAACTTAACAGCACTTGAGGATACACAGAACAGGTGATATTTGAGTTGTTATACACCAACAGACCTCTTCATTTAATGTTTCACACTTTGCACTCTCATTTGCTTCATCTAGTTTCTTTCTTAGTTCGTCTTCAATCTCCACGTTGTAAGTCTGATCTTTGTGATCCAATTTAATTGCCACCTTTAGAACATGTTCTTCCTCCTTTTCATCGTGCATCTCTTTACATATCTTTTCTCCCAGAGGAACTAGGTAAGAGTCCAGGACAGCTCTCTTTTCCTTTGCAATCACTTTTCTAGTGTTCTCACTTGCGTTCACATCCTCAAGTTCCTTGGATGCCTGTAATGGTAAAGCCTCAATATTACAAACTGCACACACATGAAAAGAAAAATAGGATATGGAAGAAACTAAATGAAGTTTCATTTCTTATGTTCCATGTGACCTCTTCCTTGGAATTTTCGCATGTTAGTCTTACTTCATTTATTTTCTCTTTATGATCTTCTACACCTTCCAATTCTTTAATCTGATCTTCATGCTCCAATGCAGTTGCATCCTCTTCAACCTTCTTTACCTCTTCTTTTCCTTCTTGATTATCCTCTTTAGCCACTTCTTTAGTGACACACGAAGGGTGTTGGTCCTCTAATACTCCCTTTTCTTCAGGTATCCATTCTGCAACCTTCTCACTTGGAGTGTGATCCTCAATCATTTCAGACACCTGCATAGAGATTTGACTTAGCTAACTGAAAATAGTAAGAAATACTAAGAGAATGGAGGGGAAGGAGAGAGAGAACTAAATAAAGTCAATTCTTATAGTCCAAATGACCTCTTCCTCTCCTCTTGCAATGTCATTTACTTCATTTTCTTCCTCACACTGATCTTGTTCAGCCTTCTCAAGATGCTGACTTTCTTCAACCAATACAGTACTCTGGTCTATGACATGGACTCCATCTTCCTTATTTTTGTTTTTCTCTGTGTTGGCAAGTATTTGATCAATCTGGATTTTGGGGACAGATTGAGAAATCTTTTCAAGCTTCTCAAGGTTGAGGTTCTCATTTGTGATCTCTAGTTCTGCAGTATTAATCTTTTCGTGCGGATCGATTGCATCCAAATTCTGATTCTGATTCACAGATACTAGATTAGTAAAATTCAAATGCAGAAGAAAGGAGGACCAGTTAAGGGTTTATTTTAGTGATGAAGAGAGGGGAAGGCATGCTCTACCTCTGTGTGTGTGTGTGTGTGTTTTCTCTATGATAACACTGTTTATTTCACATACCTTTCTCTCTTCCTCAGAGTGTTCTTCAAAGTTCTCATTGCAGCCATCTTTCTCCAGGATACCTCTTTCAGTGTCTGCTCTTACACCACCTGTTTCAGGTCCCTCAAAAACTTCACTGAAGGTATTTTCAAGCTTCTGGCGTTCTGATTCTTCCTTCTGTGAGTTTGATTCCAAGGTTTCCTCATCCTTCGGAGTCTGATGTTCACTACATTCACTGGGTTCATTCACTACTGTAATTTTTTCCCTCTCCAAGAGTGAATGAGCATCTTTTGTCTCAAAAAATTGTTTTTCAATGTCTATTTTCAAAGATTTGTCCAGCTTCTGGACTACTTTTTCCTCGGATTCTGTGTTTGGACTCTCCATTATGTCTTCGAGCCCCTTTTTATATGCTTGTGCAAGTTTCCTGGGCTCTTCTCTCTGCAAGCACATCTTTTCAATTAAGCTCTGATTCTCTGTACCTTCAATTCCCACTGTCAACACTACTTCAGGATCCCTGATCTCTTTTTTCTGAAAGCTTGTCTCTTTTGATGTCTCCATGATAAAAGGAAAATCTGAACTCTTCTCTTCCATGGTTTCATATTCCTTAAACATCTTGTCTTTTATTTTCTCAATTGAGGTTGCCATTGCAACCTCCGGTTCCAAAACAAATGCGTATGGATCCTGAAGCTTTGCTTCTGATTCATCAGCTAAGGGAGTCTGATCAACTGTGATCTCAGATTCGGTAATTGTTTCAAAACCTTGATCTTTGGATTGGGATACTGTATCAGAAGACTTGCTTATTTCTTCTTTGACTTTATCTTCGCCCATGTTTTCCACTAGAAGATACTCCTTTTTGTCATCCTTACCCTCAATGGTTGAAAGTGGAGTCACAAGATTGGATTTCTGATCATTCTCCAAAATTTTGGCTTCCTCATGATGTAGTGGAGGCAATGGATTGGAGTTCTCATCAGACTTCACACTGTTGGCTTCTTTAGACTGTAGCCAAGGTACAGGGTTGGGGTTTTCATTGGACTCCACTCTTCTGATTTCACACTGTGGGCTAGTCTCAGTTGTGCTTTGAGGTTCAGCAATTACCTCAACACCTTGATCATTGGACTCAGATACTCTATCAGAAAACCTGTTGGTTTCTTCAACTTCATCTGCAACCAGGTTTTCCACAATGACATCCTCCTTTTCTGCATCCATAGCTTCAATGGTGAGAACTGGTTGCACAGGATTGGAGTTTTCATCAAGCTTCACACTTTTGATTTCTCCATGCTGTAAACTAGTTTCATTTTTTTCAACTGTTTCTGAGATCTTCTCTTGAGAACCAACACCAGAGGCCTCTACAGTCCTCTCAGCTTCTGATTCACTCTTCTCTAAACTTGTCTCTTCTGTTATTGTCATAACAGATGCATCATCAAGCTTTTCATTACTTTTCTCTGCTCCCTCCAAAATCTCCTCTTTAATTGTTCCTTCATACACACCAGAGACCAACAATGACCCATCTGCAAACTTCTCAGTACTTTGTTTTTGTGTTATCTTTTCTTCTAATAGTTCTGTAATAGGAGAAGCTTCAGGCTTGTTAATTGGAACTTCCTCATCCTTCAAGTTTATTGCTTCTGTCTTCTCATCATTTTCTTTAGTGATCTGTTAAATGAATAAGATTAGAGTAATGGAAAAAATGGTAGAACTTTTATTCATAAAAAAGGTAGAACTTTGAGACATTATGCACCAATGTTCAAAGTTTTAGCTGACCTCATGAAGTACTCCATCCCCAAGAGATGTCTGTTTCTCAGTGCTCTCACTTGCATCAGCATTGTCATTTCCCTCAGGCATCTGTACAGTAGACAAAGATTCAACATATCAAACAAAATAAGAAGGGAAATGGAAACTAAAAGAAGTTTGACCTATCTGACCTTATCACTGTCATTTAAGATGCCATCCATCATGGTCTCTTTTGCATCTTCTGTTTTCTTGGTGCGATCTTCTGCCTCCAAATTGGCTCCTGTTTCCTCAAGAATCATGGTAACCTTTTCATCTGCTTGAAAGTTTTGGTTAACAACTTGATCTTTGAAGCACACAGTATTGTGGACCTTAACCTCACAGTCCTCACCATTTCTGGGGAATATCTGGTTGCCTTGATCTCCAGGCAGTGATTCATAGGCCCCTTCAATCTTCTCACATGGATCATCATCTCCAAAATTCTGCTGAAAAGATGCTATGTTATTAATGAATTTGATATCTGTTGAATAAAATGGAGAACACATTAAGGAAGTAATTGAAATATTCAGATTATGTTTCACTGACCTCTTCCAGATTACTTTCATTTTTTGCACTATCAGAAGCCTCTTTTATTTCATCACCGTCATTTCCTGTCCTTGACATAATTATGTGCTCAAGGTCACCTTCACCGGGAATGTTCTCAAAACTTTCTTCAACATTCTTAACATGATCATCCTCTTTCTCCAAGTGTATGATATCCTTTTCAATGTTTGCAGTCAGATCAGTTTTCTCAAGATCTTCAGGTGCTTCATCCAATGGCTGTCCACCATCTGATTTGTCCTTCTCTAAGCTTTCCACCAAACTCTCCTCATCTTTTTGTATTTCTGGCTGTCTATAAGCACTAGGCTCAGTGCATTCATTAGTTCTCTCCATCTCTTGAATAGCATCATTTTTAAACTCAGAGATACACTCTTCAGAATCTAGTTCAGTGGGTCTGTTTAGCTTTATGCCCCCATCTTCCTGAAGCCCTTCTTTTGAACTATCCTTCTCAATATCCTGAGTCTTCTTTTGAATGAATTCCTCAAGCTTCTTGGGCTCCTCTTTCTGTGTGTACATATCTTCTGTAGTGTTGCAAAATAAAGTGGTTTCCAGGTTCATATCTTGGGCTTCATTTTCTATTGGAACCTCATCATTTATACCCTGACTCGTTTTCATTGACTTGAGTGCCTTTTCTTTCATTTCTGATACAGAAGATTCATGAAACTTCTCTTCCAATGTGTCATCTGAGAGAACTTTACTAGCAGTGTTCTCTGTTTGAGCAGTCATTTCAATAACCTGGTTTTCAAAAAGCGGTACCATATCAGAAGCTCCTTCCTGTGTTTCACACTTTATCCTCTGTTCACCTTCATCTGTATCAAGATTTTCTTCTGCTGCTAGGATCTCCTTGTCTATGTTCAAACTTAAATTGGTTGTCTTCTCCAGGTTCACATGTCCAACATGTTGGTTCTCTGGGCTAGTTGACTTTGTTTCAATTGTTGTTCTATTTTTATCTTCAGAATCAGAGTCAGAAGCACCATACATATTTCCTTGTTCGGCTTCCTGCAAGTTTGACCCTTCTTTCACCATGGTGATGGTTGCCATATCTATTTTTTTATTTTTGTTCTCTTCTTTCCCTAAATCCTCTTCAATCTGCTCCTCACACATGACAAGCTTCTTGCTTCTCTCCAAATCCTCTCTGTTTTGTTTCTGCAGTTCTTCCTCATTCATTGAAGTTGCTATTATCTCTGTCTGCTCTGTGTCACTTGTTGCTTCAAAGTTCTGCTCTGTGGCTTCTAATTCAAATTCCTGAACCTGTTGAAAGTTAATACAGAATAAAATGAATGATTAAGAGTCACACTTTATATATTATCCAAAAAAAATCCTCTTCTTTGATGTATGTATGTATGTATGAATTCATGCTTACATTTTCAGGTTTTTTGGCCTCTTCTTCATATTCATGAAAGCCCTTTTTATCTGTTTCTTCCTCTGTAGGTACTTCAGAGGTGTCATTGGTGACTTCATTGTCTATGATATGCTTTTCTGTTTTCTCACCTGAACTGTCTGTTGATAGTACCACATGCTTCTGCATAATAAATGAAATTTCAAATTTACAGAAATCAAAGGCACATATAAACACATGACAAACACAGAAAGTAAGCATATATATGCACACACACACAAACAAAAAAGATATGATATTTGAATAAGAAAACAGTTTAATTACATAAAAAAAGATAAGCGAATTTGAATGAAAAGGTCAAATATCAAGCATGAGATCTCTTGTTAAAGCTAACGTCAACTTCCTGAGAGCTTTCTTTAACAGTTACTGTGGAGTGGTCCTTAACAGCACTGCTTTCCTTAACAATCATTTTCTTGGTGGCCTTACCTTCACTGTTTGCAGGTTCCTCATGTGCCTATTTAATGGATGAAATTTCATATAACAAAAGATGTCAAAAGAATGGGAAAAGGATATAAATTTTCAAATTATCACCTATATAAAGTTGATGTGAGAAGAAGAAAAACTTCATAGATTGATTTTCAAATTTTATTTTAAGCTGACCTCTCCTATGTTCTCCGTTTTGGCTTCTTGAGATATTTCTTGAACTGCATCTTCTGCACTTGATTCCTTAGAGAGGGTGATAATGGTGCCTTCTTCATCTAGCATCTGTTTTTCAGTTTCCTGACTTGCAACAACTATCTTAAGTTCCTCACACTCCTGCATGAAGGTTAAAAGTTGAAGTTTCAATTGGAAGAAGAAAAGTGAAATAATTAAAATGGGAAGTGTTGTTTTCTTCTTCTTATTAGACCTCTTTAGTCTTTTCTTCAGACTCCTTTGGCATCAAAGATGAGACACTCATGGGCTTCTCGCTGCTTTCTTTTTCTCTGGTTTCTTCTTTTGATTGTTCTGTAAGAGGGTAAGATTTAGGGTTTTTGTTCAATTCTTCCTCATCCTTGAAGCTCATTGTGTCTGTTCTGTCATCAGAAATTGCATCTGATTCTTTGACTATGAGCTTAGTGGATACAAGATTACAGTCCCTCACCTATTTAACATGTTGCAACTTAGTTATCATAAAAAGAATAGGAAAAATGAAGAGGAAAGATGAAAGCTTGTGCTACAATATTTATGTTTGAGCTCACATCAAATGTTTCATCTCCAAGTGATATTGAATCAAGTTGTTTAGCAGTGTTTTCTGTGTCCATAATATATTTTTCAATATTCTCACTTGCATCACCTCTGTCTTCTCCTTGTGTCACCTGCATAACATACAGATTTTTTTTGATCAATAATGCATAACATACAGATTTTCAACATAACACAGAAAACATTGAGAAAGGGAGAAATAAAACCCATAAGTTTGATCATCTGACCTCTTCATCTTCATTTAAAAGGATTCCCTTGATGGTCTCAGTTGCATTCTTTGTTTTATCAGTGTGACTTTCTATCTCTAGTGTGGGTTCTTTCTCTTCAAGACTCATGCTTTCTTCTTCATCCCCTTGAAAGCTATAAGTAGCCATTTGATCTTCAATAGATGCAGTATTATTATGGTCCTTGGCATCCACAATATCTTCTTGAATTGTGGTCTCTAGGAATGTGGCACAACTTTGATCTTCATCCATTGGTTTGGAGGCCTGTTGGAGCTTGTTACCTGAATCAACTTCTCTTGGATTCTGTTCTTCATTTGTGCTCTCTTTTCCCATATCCTCTGATTGCATTCCAAGGATGTCCTCAGACATCTTGGACTCTCTCGTAGTAGCATTGTCAGGGGTTTCCAAATTATCATCTTGGGCTTTATTTATTTCTGGAGTCTCATCTTTTGTCTCGTTGTTTCCTTCAATTGGTTTGAGATCCTGTTCTTGTGATGCCATCAAAGAAGATTCTTGAACAATTTCATTAATTTTGTCATCTAAGGGTGACTTACCAGAAGTGTTCTCTGTTTCATTGATCTTTTCATTACTCTTATCATTCAATTTTGATGCTGTATTAGTTGCTCCCATTAGCGTTTCAGATTTTGTTATATTCTGTCCATCTTCACCTTCATCCAGTTGTTCAGCTCCTTGAATGTCCTCTCCCATAGTCTCATCTAAGTAGGAGATGTTCATAGCTTTTACATATTTGTCTTCTGGGCTTTCTGAGCTACTTGGGTTCATCTCAGCTGTTTCTGGAATATTCTCTTGAGAAGCAAGCTTGTAAGCAACATTGAGCTCTTCTTCTTCTGGTTCAACTTCCTGTGGTGTTGCTTCTTTTGTCTCCTCTCTGCACCCTGTTACTTCAATGTTCTGTTGTGCAGGTTCTAACTCATTCTCTTTAACCTATTGACAAGTTAGTTTCAAAATTGAAGTTAAAACTAAAACCAAAATGTTAGAGTAAGGTCAGAGGTTAAGTTCCTATTTATTTTCTGGCTAACCTCTACACTGTGCTTTCCTTCCTCCCTTCTGCCTTGCTTAGATTTTTCTTTAAGTGCTTCTTCTTCAGTGGATATGATGGAGGTATTTTCAACAGTGCCATCTTCCTTTGTGATCTGCTTCTCAAAGTTCTTTTCTGCACTATCTTTGTCAAGGTCTCCAGATACTTGCATAATAGTCGAAGCTTGAACCTAGAATAAAAGAAAACGGGAGGGGGGTCAAAGAGAATTCCATGATTAATATTGGGAGAAAATTAGAGCCCAAAGACATATATAGAAATTAAGCTTCTAATTTCATGTCCATGCTGACCTTGTCTCCCTGATTGATCTCTTTATCAGGGGCAGTAGATTGGTCCTTGATGTTGCTATTCCCCTCCACTATTCTTTCCTTTGTGTTCTCCACATTATTGATTGCTGGCAGTCCCTCGTTTACCTGTTTTACAAAAAAAAAAAAAAACAACTTTGTGGAAAAACAGTAGAAGAAAATAAACTCAAAGAAATAGGACATGGACTTCCAAATTATCCCTTAGGAAAAGAGATGGAAGTAAAAAGGAAAAAGGCCCTATTAAGTTTCAGATTCTATACTCAAGCTCACCTTTCCATCAGGTGCCAATTTGTCTTCTGTAAAGCTCTCTTTAGCTGTTTCTTCACTGCTTGCGGGTTCCTCAAGTGCCTATTTAATGGATGAAATTTCATATAACAAAAGATGTCAAAAGAATGGGAAAGGATATAAATTTTCAAATTACCAGCTATATGAGGTTGATGCTAGAAAAAGAAAAAATTCTGAGATTGAGTTTTAAATTTTATTTTCAAGCTGACCTCCCCTATGCCCTCCAATTTGGATTCTTGAAGGATTTCTTCAACTGCTGCTTCTCCAATTGACTCCTCAGGGAGGGAGATAATGGTGCCTTCTTCATCTACCACCTGTTTTTCGGTTTGCTCACTTGCATCAACTATCTTAAGTTGTTCAAACTCCTGCGTGAAGGTTAAAAGTTGATGCTTCAATTGGAAGCAGAAAAGTGAAAATGAAAATGGGAATTGTTGTTTTCTTCTTCTTAGCAGACCTCTTTATTTTTTGCTTCAGACTCCTTAGGCACCAAAGAGGAGAGACTCATTTGCTTCTTGCTGCTTTCTTTTTCTCTTGTTTCTTCTTTTGATTGCTCTGTAAGAGGAGATGATTCATGGTTTTTGTTGACTTTTTCCTCATCCTTTAAGCTCATTGTGTCTGTGCTGTCATCAGCAGCTGCATCTGATTTGACTACAATCTTAGTGGATACAAGATCACTGTCCCTCACCTGTTTAACATATTGCAACTTAGTTATTATAAAAGTAGTAGTAAAATTGAAGGGGGAAAGATGAGAACCTGTGTTGCAATATTTACATTTGAGCTGATGTAAACTGTTTCTTTAGGGTTTTTGTCCACTTCTTCCTCATCCTTTAAGCTCATTGCTTCTGTGCTGTCTTCAGAAGCTGCATCTGATTCTTTGACTACAAGCTTAGTAGATACAAGGTCACAGTCCCTCACCTATTTAACATATTGCAAGTTTGCAACTTAGTTATTATAAAAAAGTAAAATTGAAGAGGGAAGATGAAAGCTTGTGCTAACAATATTTACATCATTTGAGTTGATGTCAACTGCTTCATCTCCAGGTGATATGGAATCAAGTTTGTTAGCAGTGTTTTCTTCGTCCATGATATGTTTTTCAATATTCCAACTTGCATTAGCTCTGTCTTCTCTTTCAATCACCTGCATAATAGATAAATTCTCAACATAACAATCAAACCACATGGAGAAATAAAAACCCTAAGTTTGACCATCTGACCTCTTCATTTTCATTTGAAAAAATGTTCTTGACGGTCTCAGTTACATTCTGTTTTTTCTTGATGTGATCTTCCGTCTCCAATGTGGGTCCTTTCTCATTAAGACTCATGATTTCTTTTTCATCTCCTTGAAAGCTATGAGTAGCCATTTGATCTTCAATAGATACAGTATCATGGTCCTTGGCAACCACAATATCTTCCTGAATTGTGGTCTCTTTCGTTTTTGGGACCATGGAACAACTTAGATCTTCACCCATTGGTTCAGAGGCTTGTTGAACCTTCTTACCTGAATCGGATTCTCTTGGATTCTGCTCTTCATTTGTGCTCTGCTTTTCCATATCTTCTAACTTCATTCCAAGGATGTCATCAGACATCTTGGGCTCTCTTGTATTAGCACTGTCAGGGGTTTCCAGGTTCTCATCTTGGGCTTTATTTATTTCTGGAGTCTGATCTCCTGTTTCCTCGTTTCTTTCAATTGGTTTGAACTTCTGTTCTTGTGACACCATTTTGGGAGATTCTTGAACATTTTCATTAGTTTTTTCATCTAAGGGAAATTTACAAGAATTGATCTTTGTTTCACTGGTCTTGACATTATTTTTATCATCCAATTCTGTTTCTGTATTAGTTGCTCCTACTGGCTTTTCAGACTTTGTTATGTTCTGTCCATTTTCACCTTCATCAAGTTGTTCTGCTCCTTGAATCTCCTCTCCTACATTCTCTTCTATGTTGAAGCTTTCTTTAACCTTTACATTTTTGTCTTGAGTACTTCCCAAGCTACTTGAATTCATCTCATATGTTTCTGGAATGTTCTCTTCAGAAGCAAGATTGCAAGTAACTTCAAGCTTATCTTCTTCTAGTTCAACTTTTTGTGAGGTTGCTTCTTCTGTCTCCTCTTTGCACCATGTTGCTCCAATCTGTTGCATGGCTTCCATATTCTTTATAACCTATTAGCAAGGTAATTTCAAAGTTGAAATTAAAACTAAAACCAATGGTAAAGTCAGGGATTAAGTTCCTTTTTTTTCTAGCTGACCTCTAGACTGTGTTTTACTGCCTCCATTCTGTCTTGCTTAGATCTTTCTTTAAATGCTTCTTCTTCAATGGTTATGGTGGAGATGTCTTCAACATTGTCATCTTCCTTTGCAACTTTCTCCTTAGAGTCCTTTTCTGCACTATCTTTGCCGAGGTCTCTAGATATTTGCATAAAAGATGAAGTTTGAACCTAACAATAAAAGAAAAAGATAAGAGTCAAAGAGAATGCTGTGATTAGTATTGGAAAAAACAATAGAGTTTAGAGAAAATATAGAAATTAAGCCTCTAATTTCATATTGAAGCTGACCTTGTCTCCTTGACAGATCTCTTTAACAGTGGCAACGAATTGGTCCTCAGAGGTGCTATTCCCATCCACTGTTCCTTCCTCTGTGTTCTCATCATTACTGGTTGTTGCTAGTCCCTCATATACCTATTCAATAAATGAAAGGTTTTATGGATGAACTAAAAAAGTTCTTATGGCAGACTGGAGAGATGGAAGTGAGACTTCAATGGGTTCAAAGGACAGCTAACAGCATGGTTGGTAAACTAGCCAAGCGAGGGGTGTGGAAGGAGCAAATCTTTTGGGCACAATTGTAAGGAAAGTTGTATGGGGAGATAAAAGCATTTTATCTCTCCACTAATGCTTGTAATATTTTTTTCCTAAATTGAATTAATAAAATGATCAATTATTGATAAAAAACAAATGAAAATTCATCTTAATGAAAAAAGAAGTATAAGAAAATCCTGTTTTGGATTGATGTCCAAAATTCCCCCACAATCTGGTTTGCGTTGCTGGAGTTCCTTCATGAGTGTTTTGTTTTTTTCTCTACTGGTTTGCTGTGTTGGGGAAATGCCTCACAAAGGACAACCTTGGCAAAAGAGGCATCATCCATTCATCCATGTTGATACAAGGTGTGTTTTCTGCAGCCTGCATGAGGAATGCAACAGTTGTTTCTTTATTCACTGCTATCCTATATGGAGGGTGTGGATGTTTTTTCCTCAAACCTCCTAGGTGTAAATTTGGTATGTCCTCAAACATTGACAGAGCTATTGGAGGCAATGTTGTACTGTAAGACTCGGACTGCACAAAATACTGGAATGCTTGTTGGGTCATGGGTCAAACGGTTTGACCATGAGTCATACAAATAATATATATAATATATTATGTCATTTAAAACACATGTAAAAGCAGTGGCTAGATGGTTACTTCATTGATTTTTTATGCAAGTGACCATAACAAGATAGATTAATGGTAACAAGTTGACATAAATAATCAAGAGGTCATGAGTTCAAATCTTTCTATTGGCATTTTAAACCCCCGCCCCCCATTCGGTTCTGTCTTCTCTTCAGCCTCCTTTTTCTTGCTCTGCTTCTACATCTCATGTCTTTTTTCCCCTTCCACTCTTTCAGGTTCAAATGAGTTGCCATCCCACCCAATGCAGATCGTTCCAATTTAGACAGTTGTTCCACCAAGCAGTGGCAAGAAGGAGACAGAATTTGGGAATGAACAATATAGCTGGAACTTTGGGAATTGTGAGAAAAGACAAAGAAGATGAAAAGGAGAGAATCCTTAATAAAGAGGTGACTATATCTGGAAAGGCCCAGGAGAAGAACAGAAAAAAAGGTCCTAAAAAAGAACTAAAAAGGCTTCAGTGGGGTATAAGGGATYRCATCWCWAAAGGAAATAGGATGAATAAGGGGAAATCTGTCAAAGTGACTCAATGAAGATACTAAGTTGGAATGTTAGGGGTTTGGGAGGTCAGCTCAAAAGAAGCTTAG